GGGGAAGTTCTCCTGAAGGAAAACTGGATACTGTTTCAGGGGATTATTGCCAAAGCAGGGTGAAGAGATGGCTGCTGGTGTCAAAAACAACAGCTGTCTCCTGGTACCTTCTGGAATCCTCACCAGCAGCTCCTTCCTGCAAGGATGCATGGATGCATGTGAAATGAGGTTGTTTCAAGTGACTACCTGGCACTTCTTGTTGCTACAGGCAGCAGACTTGACAGAAAGCCCATGAGCACACGCACCCTCTAAGCTGGGTCCATTCACAGAATTCAATTCAGAATGCTAGGCTTTCTCCATAAATAATGCATACCATTCACCCAGTACATAAGGTCAATGCCCCAGGTGGTCTTAGAATGTTTCCTAATTTGAACTTCCATCACCTCTGATCTCAGATCAGACCCTGTGAGCATAGTCTGAGGTCCCTGAAGGGGAGGGCCTGGGGACAACCTTGCCCCTTCCCTGGCTGGCCTAGTCTTGGGTTTGGGGGCCAGGGGTGGGGGGGAGATAAGCAGCCACATGCAAAATTGGAGTACCCTGAGTAAAGCTGGGACCAGGGTTTCCATCCCCATGAAGCAGCTTCCACCAGGAAGGGACCATGGAGTGGCCTGTGTCCAGAACACTGGAGGCCACAGCAGATGCCGGCAGAAGCAGGTGGGGCATCGGGGCCTTGGGGGAGACTAAGATATAGGAGGCCTTTGGACCCTGTGCCAGCGCTGACAGCGGAGGAGAGGTGGCACCAGACCCTGGCTCTCAGACCTGGGGTAGCCTGGCAGGAAGCTCAGAGAATGCCAGGGAGTGCAGCTGGGTACCTCTGGCCACCAAAGCCAAACCCCAATTCCAAGCAGCCTAGGGGCCTGCAGCTGTATCAGGACAGCAGCCACTGTGAGGAGTCCTACAACAGGGCCCAGAAATGACTAAGAGGTGGGCCTTCCTGAGGACGGTGCTTTGCACAGCAAGCAATTTAATGGAGCTAAACAAGAGGACCCCAGGGAGTAAAACCCAGAGATGGCCGGTGACCTTGGAGGAGCCAACTGTGGCCTCAGCTCTGAGGAGGCCTGGGGTCTCCTAGGAAAAGGATAGTCCCTTATTGAACCCTCAGTTGCCCAGGAAGGCTTGGGTAATGACCACTGGCTGTCATGTCTGACTGAGTTTCCAGCAACAGAGATGGAGGAAGATCTTGCTGTGGGGCGGTGGTGGGTGGGTGAGCTGCCCCCGGGCCCAGGGTCCACTGAAGGGTTTTTTCCTGGACTGAGCAGAACTCAGGGGAGCCCCCTGCAGTTCCTCTATGGCCACCAGAGGGCGCCCATCTCTCACGAATCTTCCAATCTGTCCTTGCTGTGGTAGACTTTGGGAGTAGGTAGGATGAAGGTGACCCTGGACCCTGAGGATAGGCTCCCAGGCAGTGTTTAATCATGTGATGTGCCAGGCTCAGGACAAGAGGAAAGTGGGTTCTGCTGGAGTCATCAAGGGCTATTCCAGGTCAAACTTTTGGTGGAGTGAAGGGATGCTTGGACAAAGGGTATAGCAGGGAGCTCAGTGCAGATGTAGGACCCCAAGAGAGGCAGCCCTGGACCCTGACTCATGCCTCATGCTATTGTTCTCATTGTGCAGAGGAACAGATACTCAGTAAGGTTCAGTTACTTGCCCCATATTAACTGCCCTGTCTGTGTATGGGGCAGCTTCTCACCTCTTTTCCGGGGAGTTGTAGAGTAGTATCTCTGAGCAGAGCAGGGCTGCAGCCTGAGGGAGCTGGGTTAGACCTGACCCCAACCCTTCACGTTGCCTATGTGGCCTTCCTAACCCCCTTCTTCTGCCTTAAGGTCTCCCTGGGCTCCAGGCTTTGGGAATATCAGCAAGACTGTGCTGTCCTGGGCAGCAGGACGGAGAGCAGCTGGTCAGTCTTACCTTGAAAAGTCAGCAGTCCAGCCTGTGCAGAGGTGTAAGATGGTCACATAGGGTCAGAAGGTCCCTCCTACGAAGCCTTTATCTAACCCTGACCCTGGCAGCAGTTTGGGAACAATTCAATGGGGGAATGGGCATTCTGGGGCCTGAGTGACGCACTGAGGACAGCTAAGCTCTAGTCCCTGTGAAGGGTGAGGCCTTCCCAGAATTCGGGCATCCGGCAGAAACCACAAATGTGGTGGAGACAGGTGTGAAATGGGTTATGCATGGTGTCTCACTAGCCATGTCAGGATGAGGGGCCTTGTTTCTCTTGTTCTTTTCTTTATCTCTGGAGCCTATGTGTCTAGCACAGAAGGCATCTGGTATATATGCGAACTAATGAATGAATGAACAAATGAATGGAATGGACAGAATACTTACCATGTGGGGGAGAAAGTGTTGAATAAGAAGTGGCCCCTAGCCCAGCTGGCCAGTCTTACCTTGAAAAGTCAGGAGCCAGTTGTTCCCAAAAGTGGCTCCAGTGGTTGAATGAACCAAGAGGTCACCAGTTCGATTCCTGGTCAGGACACATGCCCAGGTTGCTGGCCTGGATCCCCAGTAGAGGGTGTGCAGGAGGCAGCCAATCAATGTTTTTCATTGATGTTCCTATCTCTTTGTCCCTCTCCTTCCTGTCTAAAATCAATAAAAACATTTAAAAAAGAAAAAAAGTGGCCCAGGCATGTGGCTCAGTGGTTGAGCATTGACCTATGAACCAAGAGATCATGGTTCAATTCCTGGTCAGGGCACATGCCTGAGTTGCAGGCTTGATCCCCAGTTGGGGCGTGCAGGAGGCAGCCAATCAATGATTTTTCTCTCATCACCGGTTTCTATCTCTCTCTCCCTTCCTCTCTGAAATACATATATTTTTTTCCTTTAAAGAAGTGACCCTTGACCTCAGTGGGCCAAAACACACAAGCAAGTAAATATATAAGCTCACACTGTGAGAGTTGCTCTGCGACAGAGGGCCAGAACTGGGAAGGGCCTTCTTAGACTGGGGACCAGGGAAGGCGTCTGGGAAGATAACACTGGAACTGAGACCTAACATGAAGCGAGTCATGAGAAGTCTAGAAGTCAGACATACCTGTAGCAGGAACAGCAAGTACAAAGGCTATAAGGGAGGACCAAGCTTGCTGTGGACACAAGAGGCTGATTTGGCTGGGGAGCAAGGGAGGTGAGGCACAGGGTAGGCAAGAGCAAGAGGGGGTCCTGGTCTCAGAGTTTTACTTTACCCAGAGGGGCAGTGTCCAGCTTGGTATGGTCCCTGCTGTGTGACTTGAGCCTTGTCTCCTCTTGCTGTGCCCTCGCCCTGGCTTGCCTTATTCAAACCTAGGCCTCAGTTACTCTGGTGCAGCCCAAGTCTCTCTCCTGCCCTCCAGACCTTCATCTCTGGCCCCTTCCCTGTGGTAAATGGCTCCTTCTTGTGCTCAAGGTCTCAGGCCAAAGCCTGGGGGATCCTCCATGAGAACTGCCTCCAACATCCAATTGATCCCTGAATCATAATGCTTTACTCTCCAACATCCAATTGATCCCTGAATCATAATGCTTTACCCTAGATCAGTTGTTCTCAACCTTCCTAAAGCCGCGACCCTTTAATACAGTTCCTCATGTTGTGGTGACCCCCAATTTCATTGTTACAAATTGGACATAATTAAAGCATAGTGATTAATCACAAAAACAATATGTAATTATATGTGTTTTCCAATGGTCTTAGGCGACACCTGTGAAGGGTCATTCGACCCCCCAAAGGGGTCGCGACCCACAGGTTGAGAACCGCTGCCCTAGATGCTGTCTTATGTGTGCCTGATTCTCTCCCTCCCAGCATCTGCCCTTAACCCAGACCCCAGTGGTGTGAGGTGTGGATGAAATACCCTACAATGTCTCCTCCTGTTAGAAGGGGCTAGGGCCCCAGAGACTCTCTTGTGATAAAGCAGTGTGCCCCCAAAGCAGTCAGCTCCAAGGTGAGAAAAGGAACCCCCACATAGCCAGTGTTGGAAGGGGCAGGGTGGGTAGGGAGGGTGCATGACTTCAGTCCCCACCCATCTTTGTCCACACCCAGACCTACAAAGTCAGAACTCCAGGCTATGGGGGGGGGGGGGGGGGGCATGTGTCCCCGACCCTTAATCCCTTTTCTTTCACCCAAAACAAGTATCTCACTTGTACCAAGACACCAGAGATGTGTTTAAGACTATTCAGGAGAGACCAAGGAGGCACAGCTGAGAGCAGGATCCACATATTTAGATGTCACCTGGCGGTGTCCTGCAGCCTCCACCTTGGCATCATCAGCCCATTCCCTGTACCTCCCTCCACAGCTGGGTTGTCAGACCTCCCTGACTAGATTGCAGGAGGCTCCTGCCTATAAAGCTCTCCTGTGGACCCCAGCCTAGGAAACGAGCCTGAGGTTCTTAGTGGGCTCTTAACCGTCACCTTTCCGAGGCCTCTAACTTGAGGTCGCACCACACTTCCTCCAGTTAGTCAAAACTGGCCCACCTATCATCTTTAGCTATGCTCAGGGGGCAGGATGGCCTGCCAGACTAACCCAGGAACTTGTTTCTCCAGGAGGCCAAAGCTTGCAGAATGAGGACAAGGCTGCGATCACTGCCCTGGAAATTAAGTCCTAAGGGATAAGGTGCCACCTACCACCACCAGGGGGAGCCACTCAGCAGACAACCTAATCCACTGAGGCCTGTGCAGGGGAAGGTCAGCTGTCCCATGGAAAGAGTGCATCCACACGCCTGGCCTGTGCCTCCAGTCTGAGGCCCTAGACACCTTCCAGGGCACACAGGTTCACTTGGCATCCAATAATGTGGTCCCAGGAAAAGGTTTTTGGTACAACCAGTAGACAAAACTGGTAAGCAGCTCTCCCCTCAGCCCCTAACTCCAGTGCCCCGCACCAGACACTGGTGCCTCAAGGACACAACAGTCTCCTCCCAAACTGGAATCTTCAACCTCTATCCCTACCCAGTCAAGAGCTGGAGCCGAGTTCAAGATCATCTCCCACCTCTTTGCCCCTCCCCAGGTTTCAAGAAACCAGAACAGAAACAGGCTTGAGACAGAGCTTTGTTAGAACAACTCAGCAAAATAAAATTCCTGTTTATTGTGGACAACATTGTTTCACACATACATCGAACAGGCCAAAAAAAATAAACAGCAATTTCATAGACAAAAAAAGGGAAAAAAAGAAACCTTTTTATCTTTGGCCTTTTTAACCATCTCATACAAACCAACTACTTATAGTACAGCTAAGTACATACACAAAAAGTTACTGGAATGCTCGGAATAAGATTGTTTTTTTGTTGTTGTTTTTGCTTTTTTTACAAGGTTTTTTTTCTCCTTTGAGATTATAATGAACATGGTCACACCACAAGTAAAGTCAGAAGTAGGACAGAGAATGCTCCGAAGGCTGGTTTGGTCATCCCAAGATCATTAAAAATGGCTGACCCCTAACAATATGTACAAAAATATAAAATGTAAATAAAAAATACAAACAAATTTTCCTTTTTAAAGTACTTTTAAGAAAAAAAGCAGAGCAGGGCCTTGGAAGTTTTGGTTCTTTTTTCCTCCCCTGTTGCAAATTCACGTTGTGGTTTTGGTTGGGTGGTGGAGAGTGCGTGTCATCTGCAGGTGGCGCTGCCTGAGGTGGGTGGGTAGGCAGGTGGGCGGGAGTCTCTACTCGAAGGTGACCACGTTTAGATTCTGAGACGGGAAGTGGAGGGTGAATAGGTCACGGAGGCCTTTAACTTTTCCTTTTTTTGCTGTCTAGTCATCCTCATCGGTCTTCTGCTTCTTGGTGTCAACATCATCATCCTGAGCAGGAAAAATATTGTTAAGGTCCGCTCCAACCCACTGAGCCCACCCACCAACTGCCTCAGCTCCTGCTGATAGTCCCAGAGGCCTTTAAAGCAACTCAGAAATACCCAGCACCCCAAAAACAACCGAGTCCCCTCAGCCCCCAACCCCATCCCTCAAGTCAGAACCCACCTCCCCAACCCCATCCCTCAAGTCAGAACCCACCTCATCATCTTCAGCTGCCCGTTTGCCTGTAGCTGCCTCAGCCTCCTCATCTTCATCTCCATCCTCTTCCTCACCTGGACAACCAAACCTCAGGTGAACCACAACCCTTCAGGAATCAACCAACCAGGGAGGGTTCTGGCTCCCTTCTACCCAGTGGGACCCAGAACTTGGGGGAAAGGAGCAGGAAAAAGGGAAAACTGAACTGCATTCCTTAAGGAATCTCCCAGTAACAGATTTGCCAGGTGTAAATGTCCCTGGATCTGTCTCTGCTGCCTAACAGGGCAGCTGGGGTACCCACAACACCCATGCAGGCACTTGTCTTCAGATGGGAGAAAGAGGACCCAGAGGTGCAAGCACCTGCACCTAGAGAGGCCAGACCCCACTCAGTGGGTGGAGGAACTCTCCATCGGGTGGGACAGTGTAAGACGCAGCTTTAATCTAAAACAAGGAAGGCCCTACTCCACAGGTACAAACCCAATTGTAGGTAGTTCACTGGCCCCCACCCTGGGAGCCAACTCCTCCACCTGTGACAGAAGCCAGAGAAAGGTACCCCCCAAAGGAGGAGACAGACAAGGCTACTCACCATCACCTTCCTCTTCCTCCTCCTCCTCCTCCCCTCCTTCTTCCTCTTCTTCATCTACCTCATTGTCAGCCTCCTGCTCCCCATTTTCCTCATTCTCCTCGACAGAAAACATACCAGGTTATTACCTAGGACAGACCATCACTGCCCAATACACTTCTATAGCCTCAGACCCCTGAAGAGCCACCAGGTGACCCTGACACAAAACCGCCCAGCCTCCTCCCCCACCCCGGACTAAGCCCAGGAAGACAGCGTCTTGGCCAGGAGCAGCTAGGAGGTACTGAGCAAGGTGGACACTCACAGCGTTCCCATTCGCAGGTGCATCTCTTCCATTCTCTGCCTCCTCCACAACTTCCTTCTTCTCCTTTAAGTCCTTCAAAAGGGAAGGAGGAAAAGTCTTTTAAGGGACTCCAGGTATAACACAGTGCTAATCAGATGCCCCAAGTTAAAAGAGCCGCACTTAACACGTGGAGCCAGTGGAAGAAAGGCCACAGATACAGTGTCTGCCTGTGGTCAGGTTGTCTGATTTTTCAGCCCTTCCCTTGAGAAACACGTAAAAGCCATGTGGCACCACAGCCCCAAACCCGTCTGACGAGCCAGGGAACTCTCACACGCACCCATCGGACTTGTTTCCAAGCAGAGGAAGCTCCGCCTCTCAAGTCCTTCTGGGAAGGCAGCAGGTATGCGCCATAAATAGGCAGAGGGAGGACCCTACCACTTCGGGAGTTCCTGTGGGCGGACTAGCCCAGGAAGGGAAGGAGCCAACAGCCAGAACTGGGGAGGCGCCTCACCAGCCAGAGTCCTCGCAGCAGAGCTCCAGCCCCAAGCCCACTAGTCTAGGACCCGGCAAGTTCAGGCCTTTGAAAAACCCCAAATTCACCAACCTCCCATGTCTAACAGCTATCCCAAGGGGCTGCAGATCGCGGTCTGGAAACGGGTTCGGGCTAAGAAACCAGTGCCTAGGCCCCAAACGCCTCTTGCCCTCCCGCGCACCTCAGGGAGCCGAGGCGGCCGGCATTCCAAAGGGCAGTGCCGCTGCGGACGCCCTGAAGCCCCGTAATTTTTTCCATATAGTGTGGCTAGGCCAGCCGCCAACAGACAGGCATCGAACTGCCCCGGGCGCCGTCCAGAAAACAGCCTCGGGGCACCTGTCGGCCCGGTTTGCCCCAGCCCGCCCAACTCCGACCCGACTGGGCGCTGCCCACTCCCGCCCCCTGGCGGCTGAAGCCCTAGGGAACGAGTGGGGGCGGGGAGGCCGCACTGCGCAGGCGCACAGCCCCCGCCCGGCGAGCTTTGCGCGCGGGCTCTGCACGCACCGCGCGCGCAGAGCACGTGGCCCGCGGCCGCCGAGTGTGCCCCTGACCCTGGAGACCCGTAGCCGGCGGGCTGCGCTGGCCCAGTCGAGCACTTGAGGTGCGCACCAGTCTTGCCGGGCTCCGGACGCCTGCGCAACACCCCCAACCCCGCAGTCCTAGAGACGCGGGGTTTTGCGCCTCTGCATTTGGCGGGCAAAGTCCCGCGGGAGGCCGACCCGAAGTCTGCCGGGCTTTTTCGGTATCGCAGCCCCTAGGCCGTCGGGGACGCGCTCCACCCGGCTATTTATTGCCTCTAGTGGGAAATCACCCTGGAGGAAAGCAAGCGCGGACGCCCGCCCCGGGGAGGGACAATCTTCCCATCTAAACTAGACTCTGGCTGTGCCCAGAGCGGGTCGGAGGGAGCCTCTTCAGAAAGCAGGTCGCAAGCCCGGGTCTGCCGGGAGAGTCGCCCCTGGGAGAGCGCCAGAGGTGACGCCAGGGGCACTAGGGTTAAGGAGACGCCAAGGTGACTCGTGACCGTAAGAGACGAGGCCAAGAGCCGAGGGCTAAAAAAGCTGGTCCGCTTTAAAGTGTCGCGCTCCCGCCGACGGCGGAGACACTCCCGGGGCCGGCAACGGGACCGACGCAGCGCGCAGAAGCCCAGCTGTGCCAAACGCGCAGGACCTCAAAACCGAGGGCGGCAATGAACCGCAGCACAGGACCCCGACTACCCTGGCGCCCGGCCCGACCCCACAGCGGGCTACCTGCGGTCGCAGCTTTTGTTCGTCCGCGTCGCCCCGGGAGGAGCTGCGCGCACGGTCTTTCCCGGCAGCCGCGGGGGGCGCCCATCGTCGCCCCGGGGCGCCGCTCCTTCACTTTCCGTTTCCTCCCTCCGGCGCGTGGGCTCTCCCCCGCCAAGCCCGGCTCCGCCGGTGCACTAACGCTGGGCGGCTGCTCCCGGCGCACTGCCCCCGCGAGGACGCCCACCCCCGCCTCCCAACACCTAGGAAGGATGAGCCCTTAAACATCTCCGCCGAGAAAACTGACGTCGCGGGCGGCCCGCCGCCCACTCCACTTATCAGAGCTCTGCGCAGATAAGCCTCGGACCCGCTGCAAGGCGCGAAACGAGGCGACCTAACGCCAAACAAAGAGCAGCGCCGCCGGCGGGCGCTCACCGCGGAGCTGCCACTTCCCGCAACCAGCCCGCATACGCGCCCCCCCAACACTTCCGATTCCAAACGCACTGTGGAGTTTCAAAGTTATTTCCGTGCGCCCGCCGGGCCGACGACCCCTCCGCTGGGCCCCTCTCCTCCCGCCACCGCTCAGGAGAGTCGAGCAAGTTTCCAGAGCCGAGGAGCAGTCTTTCCTCCAGCCCCTCAGCCTCCGCTCCCGCCCTCCCCGAGGCTCCGAGGGTGCCCGGCCCACTCCACGACCGGCATCACGTCTGCCCGCAGCACTTCCCGCCCCCTCCCCCGCACACACAAAGAGTGGGCTGCCTCGCGAGCCTAGGCCGAGCTCTCCGCGGGAGAGCGCAATAGCGGGTTCGGGAAAGCCCAACCGCCGCGCGCCAAACACCGCTCCGGCGACAACAGCGCGCGGACCCCGAAGGGGCGGGCGGCGTCCAGCTCACCTTGGTGGTGATCTCGGAGCTGGTGTCCACGGCCGTGTCTGACATGGTGGGGCACGCCGGTGATCCTATGCAGCGGATTTTTTTTAAAAAAGCGAGAGTTGGAGGACTCTGGCGAAGAAGCTGCCGGAGTCCGCGGCGGTGGAGGAGGCGCGCGGCGGAGGTGGTTGCAGCGAGCGGAGAGGGAGCCACAGGAACAATGCAAAGATGGCTTTTCAGAGCAGCCAGTGGGGAACTCACGCGGCGCCAGAACCTTTAATATAGATTAGTGGGCGGCGCCCGGCCTCCCTTACCCAAATGCTATTGGTTGGGCGCAGGGAGCGGGCGCTCGTTCATTGGCTCCAATCTGAACAATGGGCAAGCGTGCTTAAAGCGGCAGTGCCTTGGTGCGTCCCGCGCTGCGCAGTCGCCGGCCCCTCTGTCATTCAGAGACTGAGTTTGCCGGGTCTCAGCGGCGCCGAAGCCGCGGGGGAAGGGCTCGCGCGCGCGACCTCAGGGCGCGCGCTCTCGCCGCTGTTTTGCTGGGGCTGCCGACACCAAAAGCCAAAGCGCGGCAAAGTTGCCCGCCCAGCCCCCCTCCACCCCTCCCCGCGGAAGGAGGGGGAGGCGCGTACGACGGCTGCCAGCGAGGGGGAGGGGAAGACCGGGTGCTGGGCTGCGCTCACCCCGGGCGGTGCCTGCGCAGTGCCCGCAGAGATCCTTGCCCCACACGCCTGGGCACCTTCGACCAAGAATTGCCCCAGTGCAAGGGGGCGTAGGTCCCAGACAAGCGTTGAGGGCTGCGAGGCCAAGACCCGCGCACCTGGGCTGCCCGCACGACTCTCTCACTTTGTTCACCCCCTCTGCCCAGTCCCGGGGGCTCCGAGTCTTTGGGGATGTCACCACGTTTACCCACCACTTGCCCCTGCGTGCACCCCCTAAAACAGCCGACGAGCGGGCGCCATGCCAAGCACACACACTCGGTGTTTCAGACATCGAAGGGCCTGGAGGACCGGTGCGGGCTACTACCTCGAGCTGGGCAGCCCCCGGGCGTGGTCTCCAGGGTCTGGATAGCGCCTGCCCCGACGGTCACTGCCGTCGCGACAGCCTCAGGGAGCTTCCCTCCAGAGCCCGGCCATCTAGTCTCCCCGTCTCCGCTCCCACTTAAGGGGCTGCGAGGGACACATGGACTGCGAGGGAGTATAAGGGGGCAATAATCATCCCTTAGATTAGTTGGGTTAATCCTTGGGGGGGCTCCTTGAAGTTTGGGGCGCCCTGTCGGGGACCACGCGGAGCCCGGAGAAGGGAACCATCAAGCCGCCACACTCAAAATGGCGTTGGGCTCCGCGATCGCAGCGTGACGTGTTGACCCAACCCTTGCAGAGGATCGGAAAACCGTAGGCTGCATCCTCTTTATCGCCACCTCACTTGGCTGTCGAATTAAAAAACCAGCTGTGTGGAAGGAAAGGCTAGAAGAGGTGCAAGTATGTTCCAGAAAAATACCTCAGCCACACACAACATGGCGACAGACAGGGTTCATCCCTGCGTTGCCAGAAGGGGGCGCCCGACACGGAAGGCGGGACTCCGGAGGAACGAGCGCACATTGGCTGAGAGTGGCGGGCGAACACAAAGTTGACGCTTTGCGTCCTTCCATTGGCGGGTCCCACTGTCTGTCTCTCGGGGCCGCCGACTTGGGAATGGAGAAAACCCGGAGTCTGGGATCGTAGAGGAGGGACGGATGCCAAGTCCTGCAGGGCTGTAAGCCTGGTGCAGAGGAGAGACTGAGTCTCCCCTCTCGGTGTCCCTAGGTCAGGGGCCAGCTGGCGCCATGTCCACCGCGAAACCCATTTACTGAGCTGACCGCGCACTCTCCGGCTGCCCCACGGGCTCCGACTCCGCGACCTGGCCGGGAAGAGGCCTGAATGCCCGGGCGCCTGCCGGCTCTGAGCCCCTCCCGTTCGCCCTGTGCCGCACGCGTCAGTCCCGCATCCCCGGTCACACCTGCCAGCCTGCTCGCTGGCCTGCGGGGCTTTCCCGGCAGAATTGGGGGAGCGAGGTCCGCCCTCCCTGTCCTCTGGCCGGTAGAAACGTGGGCTGGCTCTGGACGGGGAGGGGGAACCACGCCACCTCCCGCGGGCCGGCGGTCACCATCCCCTCCCGGCGGCGGAGGGAACGCTCGCCACGTCTCTGCCGTCCAAGGAGTCCCAATGGCCGACCGTGGGATCCTCTCCAGGTGGGCGCGCGCCAACCCGAGGGACCAGGCGTCCCCCCTCTTGCTCGCCCCTCGGTACCACCGCCAGCTGTCTTTATTGAGGCGCGGGCCTGGGGCCACCCTTCCTCTCAGAGGGGAACGGAGTTCCTTGGCCGTAGCCCCCACCTCCCGCTCCTTTGTGCCACATTCTCCAAGAGGTCTGTGCGTCGCGGCCAACAGCCGGAGAGCGCCTCCTACCCGGGGCGCATCCATTACGCTCTACCTACACTCGAGGGGACCGTGCAGTCCGCAAAACCCCACGCAGCATGAGCTTGGCCTGCGCCGCGTCTAAGCGACTGCATCGTCTGCCCTGTCTGGTGGCCTTGGGCGGCTGTCTGTCTACAGCTGAAAACTGGCCACGATGACTGTTCTGATCCTGGCTGTTGTGGTGGGAACGGGGGCGAGGGGACTATCCAGGAGGAGCTGTGTGGACGTGAATTTCCCTCAAAGAACTGCTTTGCCTGACGTGTCTCCATCACGCTGGCTTTGGCCAGAAGTGAGTAAGGAAGGCTGTGCCCACCCGGCTCTGGAGCCAGCATTTACATTCACCAAGCACTCACCGAGCACCTGCTGTGTGCGTGGCAGTGAGCCTTTGGCTTTAAGCATTTTCATTTATTCTCTGTACCTTGCGCGGTAGGTAGGACAGGGTTGAACCGTATGAAATGGGTGTTTGTGTAGGTCAAAAACAACTGAAAATCGGCACATGTGTGGGTTCGGCCCCTAATATGATATCACTCTCCTTTTAACGGGTCAGAAAAGCAGATCAAAGGATTATAGCAGGAACTTGGAGTGTCTGGGCTGAGCTGAAATCCTAGCGTGGAGGAATCCGTGTTGCTCGAGGAGCCCTGGAGCTGGAGGAGCCTCGCTGGCCCTCCCCCTCCCCGCCACGGGAGGGTGGCATTTGACTTAGGCTAACATGAGCCTTGTTCCTCCGGTGGCAGGCAGCTCCCCACGTTAAGTCATTGGTCCATCTCTACCCTTTGCTGCTTCTGTGGCCTTTCAAACCATCCCCCCCCAACAAGTGGTATGCCCTCGCAGGCCACCTTTTCCTGGCTGGGGTCTGTTTTCAGCCCCAAGTGCCCTGGGTTTAGGTTAGAGCTGCTCTAAGCCCCAAAATGGCCTCAGGCGAGTTTTATTTTTAGGGAATTTGCATAGGGACACCTGGTTGCCTATACACTCTCCAGTTGGAGCACAGGCCTCCCTGTCCAGCCTGAGTCACACATTTATTTCACCTCCTGGCCCTGTAGGCACTCAGGTTTGTAACACTTACTCCTAAGCCATTTCCCACCTATTCCTAAATGGTTGTCTGCTTGATTCCCAAAAAAAAAAACAGAAAGAATTTAAGTTCTGGTAAAGTGTTCTGGGTTCAAATCCCAGCCCTGCCACATGCTAGCTGTGTGAATTTGGGCAGGTAACTTTCTCATTTCTAAAAAACAGACGACAATAATGGTTCCTACTTTCTAGGGGCATGGTAGGAACTGAAGGGGTTAATATTCAGAAAGTGCTTAAAATAGTGTCTGGCACCTCCAGGAAAACCATCAGTGTTCTTAGGACCCCATTTCCAGCTGCTGTCTGTACCTAAGAGGGTTCATTTCACAGTGTTTGTAGAACCCTGGTCAAAGGAACAATGTCTTCAGCAAATTCTTCCCATATTCGGTGGGAAACGAGGGCACCAGCCTAGCTGAGTTTCTGGAAGCCTATGATTCGGTGCCCAACATGCTTGGCAGCCCCTCTGGCCTCAGAGGAATGACACAATCTGGGAGGTAGCCTGAATGGAGCAGGCCTCAAAAAATCCCGCCTTCCCACCCTTCAGAAACCAGGAGTTTCAGGCTGTGCTTTCCTTGCCCAGGCACAAGAGCTTGGGGAGCTGCCAGGGGCCTTTCAACTCTCCCGCCCTGCCGAGCCCAGCTGGGCTTTTTTCAGAGCCGCCCCATACACCTACTCCCTTGTGCATCACGTCCGGGCCTGCCCGGTCTCCCGGGAAGCTGTGCCAGAGGCCCTGGTACCCACACAGGTCTGGCTGCCCCTGCTTGGCAGGGAGAGGGTGGGGAGCATCTCTTGACATTCAGGGCCTGCCCCAAAACTAATGCCAAACTGGAGCCCGGCTGGAGACAGGGAAAGGAGCCTGGGGAAGTGTGTGTACTGTGCACACGGCCACCACCGGCCCCTGAACAGAGGTGCCACTTCTGGACTCCCTGCACACATGCCCCATAGTATCCCCAGGAATCTTCTGCCTCCTGTGCTACTTCCCAGCCCCCCTCGCCTTCCCTGCATCCATCTGAGTGTGTGAGTGTCTATTTGCATAGTTCGAACTCCGTGGGTGTTTTGCTTAAGCTCCGGTTACCCTGCAGGAGTGCGTGGGCCCAGCAGCACGGTGGCAGGTGAAGGTGCCAGTCGGGGGAGCACGTGTGCAGGCACACACCCAGTCGCCCTGTGTGAGAGCAGTGTGCCCCAGGAAACGTTAAACACCTGTTTCTGACTGTCAGGAGGCATTTAATGGGCACCTGCACACCTGTCACCTCCTGCCACCTGGCCTCACAGGAGAACCCAACAGACGGGAGCCTCAAGTGGGCCCTAGCGGAGGATCTGTGTGCCCGGGTAAGCTTGAGTTTGAGGAGAGGCAGGTTCTTTGAGATCTCAGAACTTCCTCTTTCCTCTTCTCTTTTAATTTCAAATGGGTCTTTTCTACCTTCTTGTCACCCCAAGCAGAGAAGCCACCCCCAGTCCTGTTTGGGGGAAGAGGGTGTAAGGGCAGGAGGACACATGCCCAGCCAGGATTTACTCACTCTCTCACCCCAAAGGGGGTACAGCCAGGGTGACCAACTGTCTGGGTTGTTCCTGGAGGGAGAGCTCCCAGTGCTACAACCAGGAAACTCCCAGGCACACTGTCCAGTCCTTATTCACATGCTGGTACGAATGGCATTTCTGAAGAAATCCATAACCACCGCCAAGGCTGTCACCTGTCACCTGCAACCCTCAGGCCAAAGATAGTGTCCCACTTAGATTCTGCTTCTCTT